AGTGACGAGTCCAACTTTAGGTGCATCCAAGATATGCCAGGTGAGTTTGTTTCCTGTGGTAGCAACAGGTGCAGCCCCAAGCATAAGGCCAAAATGTGTTGGGTGCTGTCAGTGGTGTGAAGGTGGAGGGCAGGTCTTTCCTTCCCTAAAACAAAATGATGAATGGGATGCAGTATATTGAAGCACTAGAGGATCATCTGAAATTGCAATTCAACATTCATGGCTGGGATTTTTTCCAACTATAATAATTAAATTAAAATAATTAAAAAGTATTTCAGTGATAACAGTACAGCCTCTTCTCACTTAGCGACATACTCGTCTACTGATGACTTGGACTTACAACAGGCTCTCTGACCAGTATGCATACCTAAATGTATACCCCCGGTTAACGATATTTTTTCACTCCAGAAGTATGTTCAGGTGCCAGTACTGACCGAATTTGTTCCCATAAGAAATATTGTGAAGTAGATTAGTCCATTTCAGACCCCCGAACATACACGTACAAACGCACTTACATAAATACACTTACATAATTAGTCACATTCGGAGGTAATCGTTATGCGGGGGTCCACTGTATTTGAGCTGATTTCCTCTATTCTGTTTATTATAATATACATTACTGTATAAACATTTAAAAATATACTAAAAATGTTATAAATGGTGCATAGGTAACATTAAAACAATATCAAAGATGGTTGACACAAACCCAGTACGTACCTTGCTTAGTGACGAATTCGTTTGCCGACGTAGTCTTAGGAACGGAACTCCATGTTATGTGAGGAGAGGCTATATTAATGTACTTGACTGGCCTGGTAATAACCCAAATGTAAATTTGATAGAAACTGTGTAACACAAGATGAAGAGCAACCTTAAGAAGAGAGACCTTGTTGTGCCGAAGCTGAAAGAGGAGCCCAGGAAGATATAGGTCACTGAATATTGCTTATATTTTTTTTTTTAGCTTTAGTAGACTACATACCCAGCCCCATACAAGAAATCATCAAAGCCAAGGGATAGATGGCAGAATATGACATGTAAGGTTATTAACTTTTATTTGTATTTTTTAGTATATTTTAGTAAAGGTAGAAAGTTGAAAGTGAACATAGATAAGAGTAAGATGATGAGGGTACCAAATGATTTAGATAAACAAAAATTGGATATCACATTGGAGAGAGGAAATATGGCAGAAGTGAATGTTTTCAGATATTTGGGAGTTAATGTGTCAGTGGATGGGTTTATGAAGGATGAGGTTAACCATAGAATTGATGAAGGAAAAAAGGCAAGTGGTGTGCTGAGGTATGTTGAGACAAAAAACGTTATTTATGGAGGGAATGTAAGTATAGTGGTACCAACTCTCTTATATGGGTGTGAAGCTTGGGTGGTAAATGCTGCAGCAAGGAGGCAGTTGGAGGCAGTGGAGATGTCCTGTCCAAGGGCAATGTGTGGTGTAAGTATTATGCAGAGAATTCGGAGTGTGGAAATTAGGAGGTGTGGAGTTAATAATAGTATTAGTCAGAGGGCTGAAGAGGGGTTGTTGAGGTGGTTTGGTCATTTAGAGAGAATGGATCAAAGTAAAATGACATGGAGAGCATATAAATCAGGAAGGCAGGGTAGGGGTCATCCTTGAAAAGGTTGGATGGAGGGGGTAAAGGAGGTTTTGTGGGTGAGGGGGCTTGGACTTCCAGCAAGTGTGCGGGAGCATGTTAGATAGGAGTGAATGGAGACGAATGGTTTTTGGGACCTGATGATGGACCTTTCTGTTGGTGTGAGAAGGGATTCAGGGAAACCCATTATTTTTCTATAGCCGGACTTGAGTCCTGGAAATGGGAAGTACAATGCCTGCACTTTAAAGCAGGAGTTTGGGATATTGGCAGTTTGGAGGGATATATGCTTCTAAACTGTTGTATCTGGGTGCCTCTGCATAAACAATTATGTATGAGTGAGGTGAAAGTGTTGAATGATGATGAAAGTATTTTCTTTCTTTTTGGGTCACCCTGCCTTGGTGGGATACAGCCAACTTGTTGAAAAAATTTTTTTTTTTTTTTTAGTTAGTGTGGGGCAAGGGTTTTTGTCGACATTATATACAAGAAAACTGCTCATGTGCTATCATAATTGCAGCATTGTTTAACAAGTCGATACAAATCAAAACTTTTCCAGACAACTCTAAGCTGGCAAGGCTTATGTAAATCCACATTAATGGAGATCATCAGAAATCAACAATTGATTCCAATTCATGATGTGGGAATGTGTGCTGTAGTGTATCATGCATGCTTTGCACATGTCATCCATTTTGCATGATTACTTGCATGCCTGCAATCCTGTATCCAAATCTTGGGCTCTCATCTATATAAAAAAAATGCATCGTCCATAAGGGGTGGGGGTGCTGTAGACTCCAGCTGTGCTTGTGTTTGTTAGGGTTGGACAGCAAGCATACTAGTTTCCATATGTCGGATCCCTCCACCTATTTTGCTCAAAAACATAATCTCTCCTTGTCCCAACTGAATTAGTTGCATCCATGTGTAGTTTCCCCTTCATCCCAGGATCCAAGCCTGTGTGGCCTTTCACAGGATGTGCTGCTTCTGCAACAACATCATATGCTTTCTTGGCCCTTGGGTAATGTTTGGTGCTGACTTTGGCCCGCCTCTCCTTTGCCCTCCACACTTCACTGTTATGAGAGCTGACTTATCCTGGCTGTGTTTGGTTTTTGTGAGGGCCATCTTATCTCTGTGGCTTTGCTTAGCTGTTATAAGAGTTGGTGCACCTTCTTTTTGGCTACATTTGGTTGTTATGAAAGCCAGCTTACTTCCCTGGCTGGGGTTGTCTGTCACAGAACTTGAATTGCATCTCTGGCTGTGTGGCTGTGGCTTCAGGCTTCTCTTCCAGACCAGGCATTCCCCTTCAGTTGCTATGAGTGTGTAGTGCCTACAGGTTGTCCTGTGAATATTTCCGAGACTCGATCTACATCTGCCGGGTTGTCCTTTTGTGCTTCATCATTCCAATATACATTCAGGTCCTGTGACCCCCTGTCCTGCCTTTGTCTTGTGTGCAGAGGATCAGCTTGATAACATGGCCCAAGCTATATGTCATTCCCAGGTGACAGTGGTGCCTACTTCCACAGTGCAGTGGGATCCTTTCCTGCTTATCCTCACAGTTGTACCAAGTGAGTTTTTTTTTTTTTCTTGTTTCTTCTGCAGGTGTCTGAGAACCTGCCTCTGTGGACACTGCCTGTCTCCTTCCTTGGCTGCCCTCAAAGATGTCAATCTCCCTGGACCATTGCATGTTTCTGGCTTTGGCCTCTCAGGTGTCATATTGTTTACCAGTGTCAAAACTAGGGTCAGCTGATGACATAGCCCTCTGTGTGCTTGTACCAGCCTTCGCTTCTATAGACACTTGCGTAAAGTCTTGCTTGTACCCTCATTACCACACTAGATGAATTACACATACCACATGGCTTATTCACGGGTTTTCCAGGGGTTACTCGATCGAGGTTCACTCATTTTCTGAGTGTCAAGCCTGGTGTGGCCAGGTATTTAAACAATTTTGGGCTGAATTCCTTTTCCCATCCTGGCCTGATCCACCTCTAAGCTATGGTTTGTTCTTCTCCCACTTAAAACATTTGGCATTTCTTGCCTTTTTTGATGTACAGGGGATATGTCTGCTGGTTGAATTTCTGGGCATTGTTATTAATGGTTCATCCATGTATGCTTGAAGTGAGGGGTCTCTGCATGTGCATGCGGCTGTCTCTTGTATACTTGCACAGAATAGCAGCCTCTTCTGGCCTTGCAGGATTTCATTGCTTTTTCTTACTGCTATCTAGTGCTGGTTTAACTCAGGTCCAGGTGTGGAGATCCTCTTATAAACCATTCTGCCATGATCAATAGGTACCTGATAAAATTATCCTTCATCATTCCAAGATTCTTGTCTCAAGAAATACCTGCCTTGATCCCACCTTTAATAAGTAGCCATCCTCCTGTAACTTGGATACATATCTGTGTTAGGTACTTTGGAGGCTCAGTTTGTACCACCATCCCCAAGTGTTGTCAGCTGATAAATGGGTTTTGACAGTAATCATAAAAGGCTACCAACACTTAGCAGTAGGGGTACAAGTCATTTCTGAATACAGTGCATGTATGGACCTTACAGGGGTTCAGACAGGTGAGTATCAGTGTGAATGAGAGTTACCTATGCCCAATTTCGAACTCTTCAGCCTGAGGTCAGGCTTCCTATTGACTGCCTGGTCAGCTAAATTGTTCTTTCTAATTGCTTACAAGCCAGCATAACAATCACAAGCTGCAGGTGATAGTGCTCTAGTTTCTTCTTGAAAATTTCTCTACCAGTATTTATTTCATGTGCTGGTAGATGACTGAATAGCCTTGGACTACTGATGTTGACAGTGTTTTCTTATTGTGCCCATGTTGCCCCTACTTTTCACTTGGTTTATTCTATACTTCCTTCCATATTAATCACTAATGAATTATGTTAGTGTGCAAATTGGGGACTTGTCATCATCATGTGTATCTCCCACGTATTCTATGTATAATCAGATATCCATCTTAGTAGCACCCAGGGCTTCTAACAGGACAATACCAAGCATTGGAGATACAAATGCAGCTGACATTAATGAAAATATTACACAGATATTCTTGGAGGATAGTTTGGACCAATTAATGGTAATACTGCACTCTGAAGAATTCATCAAAACAATTTCACGCAACATTAATTTCATGATTCAAAACTTAGTTTTCATTTACTTGCATTATACTGAGGCAGTAGATAACATAAAATTTAACTGAATTATTGCATGGACACATACTGTACTATACTGAGTTCTGTTACGATACTACAAACACAGTTGAGACTGCAAGCTTTGAAAATATCAGGAAAATGGAACTGTATTTATGTATAATGTGAGCTGATTCTTTACATAGGTGAGTGTAATGTAAAAAAAAAAAAATACTTGTTTTATTTAGTTGTCCAAGTTTTTCAAAAGAAATTTCTTTTAGGGGACAAGGACTGCTTCAAACTGCCAACACAGATGTCCTGCCTTCACATTGAGTTTACCACCTACTATTACCCAGTAGACTCAGAATTCCCAGGTAAGTTGTAGTTGTCTTCACTTGATTTCTCATGTGCCTCAGTTGTCAGCCTCTGTTGACATGCACATGCGCGCGCACACACACACACACACACACATGCATGCACGCACGCACGCACGCACGCATGCACGCACGCATGCACGCACGCACGCATGCACGCACGCATGCACACACGCATGCACACACGCATGCACACACACACGCATGCACACACACACGCACACACACACGCACACACACGCACACATGCATGCGCGCACATACACACACGCGTGCATGTGCACGCGCGCGCGCACACACACACACACACACACACACACACACACACACACACACACACACACACACACACACACACACATACACCTTCACACATTCACACACATACAGGATTTCACACCTTTATGTGAATTGACCCTCTAACCCTTCCTTCTCTCTCCGTCTCTTTGTCTCTTTTCCTCTCTTCCTCTCTCTCTCTATTCTTTTATTATTATCACACCGGCCGATTCCCACCAAGGCAGGGTGGCCCGAAAAAGAAAAACTTTCACCATCATTCACTCCATCACTGTCTTGCCAGAAGGGTGCTTTACACTACAGTTTTTAAACTGCAACATTAACACCCCTCCTTCAGAGTGCAGGCACTGTACTTCCCATCTCCAGGACTCAAGTCCGGCCTGCCGGTTTCCCTGAATCCCTTCATAAATGTTACTTTGCTCACACTCCAACAGCACGTCAAGTATTAAAAACCATTTGTCTCCATTCACTCCTATCAAACACGCTCAAGCATGCCTGCTGGAAGTCCAAGCCCCTCGCACACAAAACCTCCTTTACCCCCTCCCTCCAACCCTTCCTAGGCCGACCCCTACCCCGCCTTCCTTCCACTACAGACTGATACACTCTTGAAGTCATTCTGTTTCGCTCCATTCTCTCTACATGTCCGAACCACCTCAACAACCCTTCCTCAGCCCTCTGGACAACAGTTTTGGTAATCCCGCACCTCCTCCTAACTATTCTTCTCTCTCTCTATTCTTCTCTCTCTCTATTCTTCTCTCTCTCTATTCTTCTCTCTCTCTATTCTTCTCTCTCTCTATTCTTCTCTCTCTATTCTTCTCTCTCTCTATTCTTCTCTCTCTCTATTCTTCTCTCTCTATTCTTCTCTCTATTCTCTCTCTCTATTCTTCTCTCTCTCTATTCTTCTCTCTCTATTCTTCTCTCTCTCTATTCTTCTCTCTCTCTCTCTCTCTCTCTTCTCTCTCCTTCTCTCTCTTCTTTTCTCTCCCCTCTCTCTCTCTTACTCTTTCTGTCTCTTCCTCTCTCTCTTACTCTCTCTCCCTTCCTCTCCCTCTATTCATCTCTCTTTCTTCCTCTCTCTCTTTCTCTCTCTTCCTCTCTCTTCCTCTCTCTCTTCCTCCTCTCTCTCTTCTCTCTCTCTTCTTCTCTCTCTTTTTCTCTCTCTCTTCTCTCTTCTTCTCTCTTCTCTTCTTCTCTCTCTCTTCTTCTTCTCTCTCTCTTCTCTCTCTCTCTTCTTCTCTCTCTCTTCTTCTCTCTCTCTTCTTCTCTCTCTTCCTCTCTCTCTCTTCCTCTCTCTCTCTTCCTCTCTCTCTCTTCTTCTCTCTCTCTTCTTCTCTCTTCTTCTTCTCTCTCCTTCTTCTCTCTTCTTCTTCTCTCTTCTTCTCTCTTCTTCTTCTTCCTCTCTTTCTTCTTCTCTCTCTTCTTCTTCTCTTCTCTTTCTTCTCTCTTCTTCTTCTCTCTTCTTCTTCTCTCTTCTTCTTCTCTCTTCTTCTTCTCTCTTCTTCTTCTCTCTTCTTCTTCTCTCTTCTTCTCTCTCTTTTCTTCTTCTCTCTCTCTTTCTCCTCTCTTCTTCTCTCTCTTCTTCTCTCTCTTCTTCTCTCTCTCCTTCTCTCTCTCTCTTCCTCTCTCTCTCTTTCTCTCTCTCTCTTTCCTTTACTAAATAAAAAAAAAATTAATAAAAAAAAAAAATGGTTGGGACTCGTAGGAATCAGGGATCAGATGACAATGGTATTGGTAGGGAGGAATGGATAGAGGAGCAGTGGAGAAGGATGGAGCAAGAATGGGAGAGAAAATTAGGAGAGCTTTCTGAAAAAATGGAGAAAGAGCTCTCTGCGAAATGGGAAAAGAGGTTGGAGAAGGAGACAAAGAAATGGGAGGCACAAGTCGAAACTGCAGTAGACAGGGTAAGGGTCCTAGAGTTTGAGGTAAACAGGCTGAAGCAAGTCTCAGGGGCAGTGGCCAGAGAAGACACAGCATATGAAGCTGAGAGGATGAACAGGAAGGAAGGAGATATGAATTATGCTAAGGTCATATCAGCCTGCAAAGAAGGGAGAAAATGACCATATACAGACAGGAACCAGAGTCACAGAGGGAGAGGCAATGGGAGGAGGAAAGGGCAAAATCAATGTTTATCCGTGGGCTTCGGGAGAGAGAGGAAAAGACACACACTGAAAGAAGGCAAGAAGAAAGAAAGGAGATTGGGAAAATCATCGGTGAAATAGGGGGAGAAGACATGGACGAGATTGTAAATTTTCAGAGAATAGGGGGGTACATGAAGGGGAGAAATCGACCAATCAAGCTGATTCTCAGGACAGAAACAGTGAGGAACAGGATCCTCCAAGAGAAACCAAGGTTGAAAAACTCGGAAGAGTACAAGGTGGTGTTCCTAGACAGAGACAGAACACAGAGAGACAGCAGCTGAGGGAGAGGACAAAAAAGCGAAAGGAGATAGGAAAGGAAACAAAGATGGAACCAGCAGAGATCAGTCAGAGCAGAACAGAGAAGCAAGGGCAAGCGCGCACACAACTATCCTCAGAACCCCACAACCTATCACACCATCCCAACACAAACTGTAATCCATACCCACAGCTTCCACCCAACCCCCAATCATAGAATCCCACAGTATGCTACCAGGTCTTCCACCCCCACAGGCCCTACAAACCACAGTATTGGAAAGGAAACTAAAGGTATGGTACACAAACGCTGATGGAATAACAAACAAGTGGGGAGGATGGCACGAAAGAGTCAGAGACATCACCGAAAATCATAGCGCTCACAAAAAACCCCAAGCTTACAGGTATGATAACAGATCCCAAATCTTTCCAACGAGATACCAGATCCTGAGGAAAGACAGAAGGAACAGGGGGGGTGGAGGAGTGGCACTGCCGATCAAACACCGATGGAATTTTGATGAGCTGGAGAGAGGAGACAGTGGAGAAGAAAGTGATTACATAGCAGGAACGCTTCACTCTGGAGTCCCCAAGGTGGAAAATTTGCAGTGATGTAAACCACCACAGAGAACAGCAGGAGCCCAAGGAAATGAGTATGACGAGAGCAATAGAGCGATGGTTACACTGGCTGCAGTGACCAGAAGAGCTCATGCATGCAGGGCAAAGCTCCTTATCATGGGCAACTTTAAACCACAAGGAGATCGACTGGGAGAACTTGGAGCCACATGGGGCCAAGATGCATGGAGGCTAAGGGTGATGGAGGGGTACTGGAAAACTTCATGTACCAACATGTAAGGGGCACAGAAAGAAGAGAGAGGAAAAGGATGAGCCAGCAAGACTGGACCCTTTGTATTCACCTTGAGCAGTGCAGATATTGAGGATATCACATATGAAAGACCCCTGGGGCCAGCAATCATGTGGGTTTTGAGCTTCGAATACACAGAAAAGCTACAAGTTTGGGGGGGGAAGCAGGAAGGCCAGGACAAATGAAACCCCAAAATAAAGGAAAAGGACTACACGGAATGAGGAACTTCCTGAACAAGGTTCAGTGGGACAGAGAACTGGCAGGGAACCAGTTAATGAATGATGGAATATGTAGCAACAATGTGCAAGGAGGCTGAAAGAAAGGTTTTGTACCCAAGGGAAACAGGAATAATGAAAAAGCCAGGATGAGCCCATGGTTCACCCAAAGGTGCAAGGAGGCAAATACCAAGTGTGCAGGGAATGGAAGAAATATAGAAGGCAAAGGACCCAGAGAAAAGGAGAGCAGTCGTAGAGCCAGAAACGAAAAATGCACGATAAGAAGGGAGGCCCAACGACAATATGAAACGACATAGCAGCGAAAACCAAATCTGAAACCCGAAGCTGTTATACACCACATCAGGAAAACAACAGTCAAGGACCCGGTAATCAGCGGGTAAGGAAGGAAGAGGAGAGACAACAGAAATGACCATGAAGTATGTGAGGAACTCAACAAGAGATTCAAAGAAGTGTTCACAGAGGGGGACAGAAGGGGTTCCAGAGGGACGGAGAGGTTGTGGCACATCACCAGGGGCTGGACACAGTACACACAACCGAGGAAGAAGTGAAGAGGCTTCTGAGTGAGCTAGATACCTCAAAGGCAATGGGGCCAGATAACATCTCTCCTTGGGTCCTGAGAGAGGGAGCAGAGGGGCTATGTGTTACCCCTAACAACAATATTCAGTACATCTATCGAAACAGGAGATTGCCTGAGGCATGGAAGACAGCAAATGTAGTCCCAATCTTTAAAAAAGGGGACAGACATGAAGCACTAAACTACAGACCAGTGTCACTGACATGTATAGTATGCAAAGTCATGGAGAAGATTGTCAGGAGAAGAGTGGTGGAACACCTAGAAAGGAATGATCTCATCAACAGCACCCAACATGGTTTCAGGGACGGGAAATCCTGTGTCACAAACCTACTGGAGCTCTATGACAAGGTGGCAGCAGTAAGACA